CCCCCCCCCCCCCCCCCCTCGACCACCACCACCCCCCTCAACAAAGAAGGCACACATTCTCGGCTTACCCTGCACCAGATCCCTGGCCCTCGTTGCCTCCCCTCCCCCCGACAACGCCGTCCAGGTTCCAAACCCCTACAAGCCCGCGACCGGTGCACGCGCAGAGCCATTCCCTGCGTCACGTCACGTCACGTCACGCCACATAGCCACCCACAGCAGCATCGCACCGCATCGCATCACATCGCATCACCACGGATTGTTAGATACACAGACGATATGAGAGTGGAGTAGAAAAATGTTCGTGCGGTTGTACACCAGTATATTGTACGAAATCTAGGAATGGGTCTGATTATAGTCGACAGAGATTGCCGCGTCTGGATCTGTTGTTACTCTCGCTGTGAGTGTATGTGAGTTTCTATTAATCTTTACTGTGAATAATTTATTGTCCAAGTTTGTTTGATCGTCATTCGAGTGAGCAGGGACACAGCATTCAACACAAACCAGACCTAGCTACCATAGTAGCCCACTTCATCTTCACCCCCCAAGACAGAGAGAAAATTCCGTTCATGCAGACAGGACAAACAAGGATTGAGAGCTAGACTAGTCCAGAAAGAAAGAGGAACAGACACGAAAGTACAAGAGAGGAGCAGGGACAGCCAGCAAATGTGGGGAGACCGAGAGAGGCGGAGAGACAAGCTGTTGCTTATGAGATGAGATATGCACACCACAGATTAATGAGGACGGTCATGCCCACGTTTCGTTGGTACCGGGGTGGGCATCGCCATCGCTGCTAAGGACACTACTCAGACTCGGTTAACCTAGCGCCTGCTGCTTGGTTGGGCACACCGTTAGGGTCCATGCACACGCCTCCCCCAACATCCAGCAACACCACCTCTCTCTCACCGTGCAGGGTGAAACGCGACAGAAAGGAACCCCCCCGAAAGCACTTCCGACAGTGTCAGGGGCGAGGGTGAACCCCATGGCATCCCCTGGGTGGAGAGCGTCGCGATGAGTTTCAGCCTTCCCCCCAGCCGGGGCTTGAGGGGGATCCTGCCACATCAGGTAGAGTCGCCGACAAAAACAGAGGAACACCAATATTTCGTGTGTCAAAATGTGTCGAACAAAACAATCGCACAACAACGACACGCTACACAGAAGCAACTTGTGCGATTTTGACGTTGAAAAGCGAAACATCTCTGAAATGATGATGCTTCAAGCGGCGGCAACGGCTGTTTGCTCCTCATTCATCAACTCGTTCTCATCCTCAGCGAAATCGAAGAGGTCAAGTGAAGCAAGAGGCTGTTCTGCGTGCTTTCCTACTCAACTGTGGAGCAGAAGTCGTGCGAGCATTCTGGCCAAAATACACACAGCAGAGACAGCATCCCACCAGTCCATACCACCGCCAACGTCTGAGATGGCAGCTGCTGTCACCGCCTTAAACCTATTAACCGGTGCAGCAAATCGCGGAACACTCGCCAACGTACCCTAGGTCCTCACGGCAAACCCAAACCTCAACAACGCACCGATTGCACCGATTCTTGTGTGCCGAACAGGAACCAAACTGCCCCCCCCACCCCCAAACCACAGTCCCAACGGAACTAACTCACATGTCGTCTGTCGTGTCCGAAAAAATAGAAAACACCACAACCACCACCACCTAAAATTGACCGCCGAACTTCCCCAATCCATCCATTTCCCCTCCCCTTCAAAACCCCACCCTTACACAAACGCCGGTCGGCAACGAATCATCTCACTTGTCATCTTTTCCAGCCTTTGTTGACCCTCGCACTCCCCTGACCGGAGACAGCGCCGGCGGCGACCCCATGCCGGCTCCGGTACCCCCCACCCCCACAAAACTATCGCCCCCCCCGCCTCCCCCCCCCCCCCCCCCCTTTCCCCCCATGAAAAAAAAGCGG